CATCTCATAGTTTGTGGTGAATAAATTAGGAAATTACAGGACAATCTGCAGAAACTGCTGTTTCCAGTTCTTGCAGAGCAGCCCTCTGGGCTTGGGTTAATGTTGTCCCCAGAAAGTTTACATAGCAAAATACTTAAGCTGGTGCTTATACGTAAGCAGGTGGTTTCATTGACTTCAATGAGATCTTTGTTTGCTTAAGTGCCCTTCTGGATCAGGGTTCAAAGCAGGCTCTGAAAGCTTTTTATTAGCATATATTCACTATTTTCTCAATTTCACTACTCCTCTGCGTTTTTGAAATTTTTTTGTTATGCCTCATAAAGACAGTTGCTATCCAATATTTCACAGATTGGTATGAAAATATTGTGAAATCCTGCCATTGAACCTGGATTTAGAGAATGAGAACAATAAAATTTTAAAAAAGAAGAAAAGTTCTGTTTACCATTTTGATGTTACATGGTACTTTTTGACCAGTTGGTTGGGCATTGTGGAAATACTGGTTGGTTATTGAATAAAAAATAGATGAGCGTGTCGCACGCAACTAAGCAGTCAGAAATCAGAAAATTTTGAAGTCAGGCTTGGATGTGCAACCCTCCTTTCTTAACATTATAGAACACTGCTTAAATGATCACTTTGTAGTCCTTGAATTATACATGATTGTGTATCTTTGCTGTGGTTTTAAGTGCATATGTACCATCTCCTCATACTATTATATTTTTGCCTACATGTACCATTTTCATTGCATGCATTACTGGATCCTTTTAGTAACCTAAGCATTGTCTCTTCCTCACTTGCATTTGATTCTTTGCCTTTTAAATTGGGCTTGTGAAAAATGAAAAAAATACATATAACATGGAATGGCTTAGCTAGGTATTCTGACATCTCTAAACCTTCTTTAAAGGGCTGCAGAGAGTCATCTTCATATTGTGAATTGTAGGAGCACTTAAATCTCTCTGCAGTATACAAGGTATGTGGTTCCTGAGGTATCAGCTGCCTCAGCAACCGCTGATTTATGTTCCTTTTATTTTTATCTGTTCAGTGAAAGGAGATGCACACAGAAACATGGTAAGGTGTTCCTTAACTTTGCCCTTTGAACTTCTTTAAAGGACTGCAAGGTGAGCGGAACGTGATTTTCGCCCCCGTAATCATGGGGCACTCCTGTGAAAGGCTCTTTCTGTGCCCCATGCCTCCCCTTTATGCCACCAGCAGCTTCAGGGGCTAAGGGGTGCCTTCTGCCCTCTGCCCTCACCCCCAGAGAAATTACATGTTTCACATTTTAAACTCAGTGTGTGCCTGCAGAAAAGTGTTGGCCCCTCAGTTGAATGTTACAGAAGATTTGTAAGCAGCAGAAAACAAAGAATTACAGCAAAAATGCAAATGCTGCCAAAGTTGTTGTGGTTGCTTTTATCACTTCTGAATGATTAAAGATGGTTCTGATAGTATGTAGTGTCTGCTCAGGAGGAGTGAGTGAGAATAAAGATTGGTAGGACTTGGAAGTTACTCTCTAAGGGAGAAACTGAAACTATCCATTGAAGAGGAGCATTTCAAAGCATGGACATAAGTTGTGAAGATTGGAATCAGCAGAATGTCACCAGCTGGTGGCATGTCTTCACATTGGCTTGTTGATGTCAGAGAGGCTTCTATTGAGGCAGTTGCGTATGAATGAAGTGGGTGTCTCATGACACACCTCTAGAAGAATGAAAATAATCTGATCAGATAGAAATTACTGTCTTCCTTACAGATTATATAGTTACACAGTTATTTCACCCTTGTGTTAGGTATTCCAAATTGAAGACAGTTCCCCTGAAAAGGGTGTGAAAATTTAAATGTGTTGGGGGGGGGGGGGGAAAGGGAGGGTTAAATCTGTGAAACTTTAGACAAGCACTCAGCCAGAACTCCTCCAAACTTTCAAGATTTGGACAAAAATAGAAGGAACAGCTAGCACGTTGCTGGTACAAGAGGGTAAATCACACATGTGAGATTCAAATAATACTAAACCCATGATTCAATGTAGTGTGCTTCAGACACAGAAAATGGAGTTTAATTGTGTGTAATCACGCTGTCAAAATGTCTCTCTGAGCTCACTGCCAGGCTCTACAGCTGACATGGCTGGAGCAGACAGTATTTGCTTTTTAATAATTCCCTGACGGTTGTTTTTTGTTATAAGTGTAACTTTAAACTTTACATTTCCAGATGAAACTGTTGTTTCTGGTTTTGAACCATAGGCTTTTTCCCTTAGGTACTTGATAGCTATTTTAAACCTTAACTCTGGTTTACAAAGCTCTTTAATTGGGGATTAAACTGGAATGAGTTAGAATAGTCATAATGTTCTGTAGGGTAATATAGTTATTCATATAGACCATCTGTTTTGTTACCTATTATGCCTACCTAAACACATCAGAGCTCGTAAAAGGTGCTCAAGGCTCCCGAAGAAAGGGCATAAATGAGAGATTCATGTAGCACTTAATTAGATTAATCTCAACATATTTTTAACATGCTGTTGTGAGGGAAGGCACAGTTCCTAGTTATTACTGAAAATAGCAATATTTTGATGTGTCTATTTATTTTTTGATAAATGTTGTCTTTCCATTAAAATAATTTTATTTTTTTTGTAATTTTAAATAATAACCTTGGATTGCTGATTTTTTTTTCTAGATAAAATCAGTGAGTGTATTTGCATGTGAGGCAGAAGATGCAATGTATTTTGCATGTCAATGGGAAATGAATGTTATTCCACAGCTGTGAATCAGTTGGCACTTACTCTGGGTTTTCAAATACCATCATTGTATCTAAGACATGTCTTAAAGGAAACTATCCATTTGAAAATGTGTTTTTCCAGCAAACATTTTGCACTAGCTATAACTGGAAAAGTTAGTGAGGGAAAATATTTATCTTTTTCCCTGCCCGCCCCCTCTTTCATTCTGTGGTGGGTACGATTATTTCTTTAGTGTGTGTCTCGCTTCTTTGTCAGCTTCTTCCTTGCAAAAAAACCTTTATAAATATTAGAAGAAGAAAACTCTTCTGTAAACATTTTTAATTAAAATATGCTATAATGATGCTGCTCATTTAACGATGGAAATTTAAAGAAGAATCTGAAATAAATTAAGCTGCTTATGCGATGCCATTTTTGCTCAATTTTCATGAAGGAGAATGTTCTGGAAAATGTGTTTAAATAGATCTTTAGTTAAAGTAAGGGTTTTGTTTCCCTCTGTATAGATACAGTGTAATAGTGCAGAAATCAACAGGGATTTCAAGATGTTTTCAACCAAGTTATGCTAAATCAACCATACCAGTTGATTTAAAAAGAAGTAAGTTAAAAAAGGAGATTTTTGGCATCATATTTCTGTGATATAAACTAAAGCATAATGGCTGGAAGGTAGGAAAGGGGAGACTGTGGAATAATTTTGCCTAGGTTTCTGCATTAAAAAAGATTTAATAGCAGCTAATCATTGGGATGAGAATAGTCTGCCCTCTACTGTAGAGCTAAACAAAGTCTAGCAGACAAAAGAGGAAGAATTGTATTCAAAGCAGTCACATTTCCCCTTTATTTTCTCAGTGGGGAAGTGTTTGATTTCTTCTTTTGTAATACTGCTTTTATTTGTATTTACAGGGAGGAGGTAGCTTCTTTTCAAGAAAGGACAAGTGTGTGGATGTCATTACCCAAACGTAGCTCTGTGAAAGTTTATGTGACAACAGCAATGTGTTGGAAATAAAGGCTGTAGTTAGTTGATGATTAATCTTTTAATCTTCCCCTCAATCCTGAGCTTGATAAGAACTGATCGAGTTTCCTGAACTATGCTCAGCACAAGACCGTGCTTCCACAGGAGGGAAGTAGCAGGTTCCCCTGTGACTGGGAGGTGCGATGGAGGTTCACTAAACGCAGGGCAACAATCCTTCCAGTTGCCTCAGTTCTCCCAACTGGATTACAGCTTTCAGCTTGCAAAATGTCGGCCTTTTTGCTGAGCCTAACATAAATGCTTGTTCCTACACAGCGCGCTCTTTCTTTGGGCTCTGGCAGACAAACTGGGGGGGTCCAGTAGCCCGGAGCTGTCTCCTCGGCATTGCCGGAGGTGAGCATCTTCATGCCAGTCTGAGAGGAGCCCCCCTCACGGGCCTGATTCCCAGTGCACGATACGAGCATAAACCGCTGCTGAAGGATGGTTTCGGATCGCACATCAGACTGAATGAGAGCAGCGGAGATGCGGGCAGGCGCTGCTTTTTGTTGACTCCACTACTTGTGGATAGCATAAATGCCACAGCTGTCTGCCTGGGTGTACGCAAGTCAAAGACCGGGGATGTTTTTAAAAAATCTAAATATTAGGGAGGAACTACGTAAAGTTTGGAGGCAGAAGAATACATTAAAACAACTTCTTTGAAAAATACTTTGAAAAATACACAAAAAGCAGCCCCACAGTATTAACAAAAATGCCTTAAATATCGCCAGTCTCTGTGTATGCTGCTTAAATATATTTTTTCTTCTGGCTTCAGAGTAGTAGGATAAACTGTCACTATGAATTATCGCCTGCTGTTAAGAGAATAACAAAGAAACTACTTAGAATTTTCTGATGTTGAGTATAATTTATTCTTCACTGCATATTGCTTTTTCAAAGAGAAGTTACAAAATTAGAAGCTGTTTGTCACCAGCAATTTGTGCATATTTATTGTTTTATTGTGTAGTCTGCGCAGTACAAATAACCACATCATTAACACATTAGATATATTCAAACAGGATACATCTTAGTAGCAACTATTCCCTTATTTACCCCTCAAAAACCCTCTTACTAATCAACGATTTTTTTCTGTGCCCAAACCTTTCATTTCCTAAAGGGAACGCGTTGAAAATACAACTCGTCCTGGAGAGACACAAGTGACAATCCAAAACCTTATGCCAGAAACAGTTTATGTCTTTCGAGTTGTGGCTCAGAACAGGCATGGCCCCGGAGAGAGCTCAGTACCGCTGAAGGTGGCAACTCAGCCTGAGGGTAAGCTGTGAATATTTAAGTCTTCTTGGCTTTGGGATTGATTTTTTTGTTTTCCCCATTCATGACCTTTCCCAGAATAAGTTGATACCCTTAAAAGTTGCACTTGCAGACCATAGTTCCAAAATGATTTTTCCAAGTTACCATGTTGGTATGCTTATATGATTTAGTCTCACTTTTAGAAGAACTGATAAAACATTCCTAGTTAAACTGTCTAAAGTTTCTGTTACAAAAGAAATACTTCTGAGTTCTCATTAACTGAAACAGAAATAAAGAAAACTTTAAGAAAATGTGAAGTGTGTGATTTGTTAGGATCATTTAGGACAAAAGGAACCTGACCCAGGGAGCAGGATCTCCTTCAGAAATTTGGTCTCACCTTTACACCCCCCAATGAATCCATGTGAAATGCTGAAATGTTAAAAGATACCCATCTTTTAACTGGAGTTGATTAATAGTGAAGTTGATGCTAAAATAATTAGCTACTGAAAATGTTAATGGTTAGGCTTGGTGACTAGCAGTTTCATGCTTACATTTCAGTTCAGCTTCCTGGTCCAGCACCCAATATCCGAGCGTATGCCAGTTCACCCACCTCCGTTACTGTCACCTGGGAAACACCATTGTCTGGCAATGGAGAAATTCAGAACTACAAGCTCTATTACATGGAGAAGGGACAGGACACTGAACAGGTACAGAGCCTGGCTCTTCCTGCGTGATATACAATGCCATTAACAGCCTTTTTTCTTCTATGTGACGTGTTCGTTTTTCTGATAGACCGAATCCTTTAGCCTGAAATATGGAAATATTTAAAATTAAAAATCTAGCATGAAATATATGTTTTGGAATTAAAGCAGTATTTTATGTGATGGCTTATTTAGGTATTCATCAGCGTCAAGGAGCATTTGGGGATGTCCATCATATCACGAGATGAAAACTCAAATAATAGCTATATCATCATTTAATAGTTCTCGTTCAGATAGTGTAAAGGATGCTTGCGTGGGTTTTATAGGTTGGACAGTTTTATTTTAGTGAAGTGGGCTAATTACTGATTTTAGCATCATCCTTAATCTGAACTGTTCTTGCTTCTTGAGTTCTTTGATCTAGTGATTGATATAGACCAGCCGGGCTAGCTCAGTTGGTTAGAGCATGGTGCTAATATTTTGATAGTGGTGAGTGTCTAATTGATCAAATTTTCTTATGATTCTACTGGAAGAATCCAGTATGTTCTGTGCAAGTATAGGTTGCCACCTGAGAACAGTCACAACTTTGGGGGGATTCGTCCCAGTCATTTACTTTCCCATCCAATTGCATATGAATATGACTCCAGCTTTAGAAAAAGCTAAGGGGAGAATATTTTTGTTAGCATTTACAATAATTTTTGACAGAAGTTTTTAAATAGGAATGTTGTATTCCTCAGATAAAATTACCTTTTCTACTTTTGCATCCTACTATTCACAATACAGTAATAATTTTTACTAATAGGCAAGTTCATCAGATCCCTTTTAATTTACAGAACCAGTGTCCATGTTATGATTTAAGTCAGGTAGGTAGAATTTTCTCTTGCAAGCTCACTGTTAGCATCTTTACAAGTCCCAGCTGTATATAAACTGTGGGTGCTGCAGAAAGGTATCATTCCTGC